GCACTGTGCCACCTAGTTGCCCTTTTTCCCCATTTAAAAAAATTATTGATGTCTTTTTTCCACATCACCAAAGTTTCCCTCAGAATCTCTCCCCACCTTCCTCCCAGAGAGCCATCTGATATAACAAATAATATTATTGAGACAAAAAAAGAAAAAATCAACATAACTTATCAACATATCGAAAATAAATATGAGCTGTGAAAGACCTTCATGATCTGGCTCCAACTTTGCTCCCAGCCTTTTGATATATTAATCTCCTTCTTAAATTCAATGTGCCATCCAAAATGGTTTTCTTGCTTTTCCTCATGTGACAATCCACTTCTCATCTTTAAGCCTTTGTCTTGGCCATCCTCCATATCTGGAATGCTCTCTCTCTTCATTTCTGCATCTTAGAATTCTTCATTTCCTTCAAAACTCTGCTTAAGCTCCACTTTCTTCCATCTGAAGCCTCCCCCATCCCCTGCCAGTTGCTAGTGTATTTCCCCTTACAGCTTTAAATCTAGAATCCTATTAGGGTTGCATGATCCAAGGAACAAATTTCCGTAACAAGTATGATTTGATTAATTTGCCATCTTTCTCAGCTCTGAGCAAAATCTATTCTAACATTCATTCACTTCATTTTGAAAAATAGTGAAGATAGGTCCCTTCTCTCCACTTAGGCTTCCTAAATCCAACTATGCATCAGCAAATATTCCATCAGAATTTATAGATTCACAGGGATACAGTGGAAAGAGCCCTGGTTCTGAGGTTGGAGAACTTTACTACCTCTATGCAGGCTACTTCCAGTTGTGTGACCCTGAGCAAGTCACTTAACTTCTGTTTGCCTCAGTTTCCTCATCTATAAAATGGAGATAATAATAGTTCCTACCCCAACCCTCGGCCCCCAGTCCAGGTCATTGTGTGGATCAAATCAGAGAATAATTGTGAAGCACTTAGCCCAGTGCCTGGTACATAGTAAGTACTATATAAATGTTAGTTATTATTATTATTATTACTACTGACCTTGGGTAAGTCATTTAACCTTCCTGGGTCTCAGAGTTTCCTCACTTGAGGAATGAGGACTAGATACATAAACTTTGAGATCCCTTCAAGCCCTCGGTCAATGAGCCTATGAGACTAAGAATTGGAAGGGACCTCAGAAGAGATAGGTCAACTTGTATCTCAGCAGCAATCCTAACTCGTGCTTGGAGACTTTCAGGGACAGAACTCACTACCTTCCACTTTCTACTTCAGGATGCCTCTAATTCCAATTTGAACAAACACCCTTAACTATCCAAACAAACCTTTTTAAATGGCCCCCCAGAATACTGTGTCCCAGGGACAACCTCTTCTCCTAAGCCCCAAACATCACCACCCCAACCCCCAAATGCCCCTAAGTGTTACACAAACCACCAAATGACTGAAGAATGGCATTTGTCACCAGAATGTAGAAGCCATTCTTGCTCTCCCTGACATCTGCTCTGCAACCTAGAAATGTCTATTTGTTGTTGGAATTTTCAAAGAGGACAATCCCTGAGTACTGTTGGGGGAGTAAGTTCAGTAAAGAAATCCATTGTGCTTGGAATAATGTCTTCACTGAAAACAAATAGCTCCAGAATTTTGTTGTTTGGTTGTTTCGGTCACATCCAACTCTCTGTGACCCCATTTGGGGTTTTCTTGGCAAAGATACTGGAGTGGTTTGCCATTTCCTTCTCCAGCTCATTTGACAGATGAGGAAACCGAGGCAAACAGGGTTAAATGACTTACTCAGGGTCACACAGCTAGCAAGTGTCTGAGGCCAAATTTGAACTCAGGAAGATGAGTCTTCCTGATTCCAAGCCCAGTGCTCTGTCCATTGTATCACCTAGCTGCCTCTACCTCCAGAGTAGGGTAGGTTTAAAGGAAGCTAATGTAGGAGAAATGAAGTATTATCCTTACAGGACCTTTTGTATGGAGGTTCAGAGGACTTAATGATTGATTTGGGAGAGTCCAAATGTGAACAAGGTTCCCTTAGGATCAGGAGCCCATCCTGTCCCCCACAAGGGTCCTCCTCCCACCGCCACCCTCATACCTTACAAGACTGTTGTGAGGATCCAATGAGATAACATTTGTAAAGCACTTAGTATGGCGTTTGGTGCATCTGGTGCATCGTAGGTGCTTAATAAACGCTTATTCCCTTTCCCTTAACCACTACTTTCCCCGTCCCAGTCACAACTGGAAGTTTCCACCTAAGTTTGGTTTTAGCAACAAAACTTTGCAGGTCATTTCCCACCTGATACCTCCATAAGAAGGCAGAAGACCTTACTCCGCCACTTCCTACCTATGGCAAGCCACCTGATGTCTCCAAATCAGCTTCCTCATCTTTAAAATGAGGGCATCGAACTAGATTACCTCTAAGATCCCTTCTAACTTTAAATCCATGAACCTGTCTCCTTTCCTGAACCCTAATTTCCCCTCTCTGGGCCTCAGTTTTTCACCTCTGTAAAATGGAGGTATTTAGACTGAGATGGTCTCTAAAGTCCCTTCCCAGGGCAGCTAGGTAGCGCAGTAAATAGAGCACTTGCCCTGGAGGCAGGAGGACCTGAGTTCAGATTTGACCTCAGACACATAACACTTCCTAGCTGTGTGACTCTGGGCAAGTCACTTAACCCCAATTGCCACCCTAAAAAAAAAGTCCCTTCCCACTCTGACTGTCAAATCAATGTGTATTTATTGTCTACTCCATACAAGTCATAATGCTTATGATGCCTTGTCTCCAAAGATACATCAGATCTAATGAAAAAACAGAATATCAGAACCAAAAGGCCCTAAAGATCATTTTTGTCTAACCCTCTCATTTTACAGGTGATTTCTTCTGATGCTTAGGGAAGGGACATTACTTTTCTAAGGTCACCCAGCTAATTACTGATTGGTACTAAAATCCAGTCTCTTCCTCTTTAGGCCAGTGCTCTTTTCACAATAAAGTACCAAGAAAAAGGATAGGGTGGCACACCCTTCAATCCTCCCCCCTTCCCTATGTTGTGGTATAATACAGTTGAACCATACGGGGCTTCTCATCTGCTACATGTAATTACTATATGGGGTGGTGTCCTTCCCCAAGAACCACAGAATCATGTTTTAAGCTGCAGAGATCTTAGAGACCACCAGATTTGCCCTCATTATCTATCTGAAATTATTTGATAACAAGCCATGTGATATCAGCGTAATAGTTCAATAACCCTGAAAAATAAATTACCCTTTTTAAAAAAGAAAAGAAAATACCCTCTTTTGCCTAAGGCCCCTTCAGATCCCAGTCACAAGCCTCTCATCCCTTCACCTCCAACCCTGAGGGTTGGACTGTCAGCTTGTATCTTGATCACCCCACTGGCAAGTTTCCTTCTTTGAAAGCATCCAGGAGTTCATTCCCTTATCCCTAATATAGCCAGTCTAGCAAACCTCCCCTGTTAAATCAACAAACTCTCTTTTATCAGGATGATTTGCTCAAGTGAATTTGGACCTAATTCATTACAGGTGCCTGAAGCAGGGATCCCTCTCTAATTCAGACACTTCCTCAAATTCATTACCTTCTCTCATTTCCAGCCCCCTGCATTCTGAGGACTCTGTGTGTCTACCAGGTATTAGGATGGGGGATGGGAGAGCGAGGGGAAAGGTGAAGCTATAGACCTGGGGCAGCCAGTCGAAGAGTCCCAAAGGGAGGGAAGGTTCCTGCCTCTGAAACTCCTTGCAAGCAACAAGGAATCTTTTGCTAACCCAAGAGGGGAGAAGATGAAGGGAAATAAAGTAGGAGAAAAGTCATCACCTAAACTCGTCCTGTATTCCAATCTAATCTCTTTATCCTCCCTTGTGAGGCTCTGATTCTCTCTGTCTCGGTGTCTCAGTCTGTCTGTCTCTTTGTCTCTGTCTCCCTGTCAGTCAGTCTGTCTGTCTCTTCTTACCGAAAGTCCCTCCTACCCAACCCGATTTTTTCCCCCAGTATGCTTTTGAAAGGGGTGTAGTGGATTGAGCCCACGGGGTGTGGAGTCAGTAACTAGCTGTGTGACCCTGGACAAGTCACTTAACCCGGTTTGCCTCGGTTTCCTCGTCTGTAAAATGAGCTGGAGAAGGAAACGACAAATCACTCCAGTATCTTTGCCAAGAAAACCCCACATGGGGTCAAGAAGAGTCTGAAATGACTGAATAACAAATGCTTTTGAAAAGTAATCTAGTTCTCCAAGGGTCCTAGACTCCAAGTGATTTCTCAGACAAATAAGAAACCCCAAGATTCTCTCCAGATTTTCCCTCCCTCACTATTAGCCTTCATTCGGTCCTTCTCCCATTCTCACCTCCCCCTCCTTATTAGTTATTCTCTTGATTGCAATTCTGTTCCCATCCCCAGTTCCCCGGAACTTTTTTTTGACTCTTGCTGTCCGCATCGCTCCAATCTGTCCTACTTAAGCAGACAATAATCCCAAACAGAACACCCCCGGAAGGGCAGAGACAAACACAGGGGTACTCCTAGCAGGGAAAGAGGCAAGAGCAGAAGCGGGATGGAGAGACAAGCATGGATCAGCGAGCGGGACCCGAGGGGAGAACAGTCAGGCATGGAGAGGGGAGGGGCGGGAGAAATACAGGAATAGGGTTAGAGATGAGGGCCGAGGGAAAAGATAGGGAAGGGTATCAAGGAGAAGAGACGAGGATCGGAGTCAAAGAGAGGACGGAAGGGAATAATACAAGAGAGATCAGGATGAAGATCAAGTGGGATGAAAAAGGATGAAGAGAAAGTAGAGTACGGGAGGAGACACATATGAGGGTCTGGGACAGACACCACAGGGGAGAGAAAGGAATCCGGGTCTGACACGGGGGACATAGGGCAAGACGTGGTTGGCAGTCCAAGACAGGGATGGGTTCTGAGACGGAGGGAAAGGAACAGAGCCAACTGGTCAAAGAAAGTTGCTGTTGGCGTTGGAAGGGGGTGAGAAAAGGAAGAAGCTAGAGGAAACTGAGGGTGGGGCAGGGAAGATGAAGGGGGGAAAGGGACTGACCCGAAGTAGGCGGCGACGGCTGCTGGCAGCGCCAAGAGGCAGAGTGCGGCCAGGGGCAGCGGAGGCGGGCGGCGCATGGTGCCGGCGGCGCCGCTCCTGCTCTCATCTCCTCCGTGGGCGCCCGGCTGCTGCTGCTGCGGCTGCGGCGGCGGCTCCTCCGCTTGGCTACCCGGGCCGCCACCTGCTCCCCGCGGGGCTTTAAGGCGGGGAGGGTGGGGGTGCGGGAGCAGAAGGGTGCGGACTCAGCCGCTTCTTCCCGACAGCTAGCCCCCCCCTCCCCATTGGTCCCGCCGCGCGCAGCCCCGCCCTCCTTCCCTGGGAGGGGAGGCTGCGCGCATCCCGCGCCCAGCCCTTGCCTCGCTCCCCTCTCCCCAGGTGGAGGGAGTCTCACCTGGCGCCGCCCGACGAGCCTGGGGGGATGGCGGGATCTATTATCCCGAGGAGGAGTTGGGAGGGGGGAAGGGTGGATAGGCCTGGGTGGGGGTCAGTGGGGGCAGCGGATGGGGGGGTGGGTGGGTGTATGAGAAGGCTGGGACATTAGCCTGGGGCTTTCAGCTTGAAACACTTCCCTGCCAACAACTTCACCCCTACTTCCCACTCCCCTCGCTGGAAATGTGAGGATTGTAGTCAGTTTCTGACCATCTTTGAGCTCTCGGGACTGGGGATTAAAAAAACAAAAAGGATTCGGAATTTGGAAATTGGAGCGGGTGGGGCTGGAGAGGATGTTAAGAGATGACTTGCCCTTACCCCAGGCCAGCTGTCTTGCTACTTTGGTGTAGGGAGAGATCCCTGAACTTGGAGTCAAAAGCCTCAGAAATCCTGGCTTACTCAGAAATCCACTTCCTAGATGTGTGACCCAGGGCTAGTCATTTCTTGCCCTGCCCTCCGTTTCACCTGTAGAATAAGGGAATTGGACTGGATGGCCTCTTAGATCCTTTTCAGCTCTATCTAACATTTTGTGATCATGAATCTATTAATCACCTGGACAGAGGAGCTTCCTGCTTGACTTATTGAGCTGAGCAGTGACTTGCGTTGAGTCTAGACTTAGAAAGGGCTAGGCACTCTGCTAAGGTTTTACTAATGTTTTATCATTTGCTCCTCACAACAACCCTGGGAGCTAGGTGCTATTATTATCCCCATTTTATAGTGGAGCAAATTGAGGCAGATGGAGATTAAATCATGGAAATGCCAAAGACAGTATATCTGGATTCCGGAAAGATATGTGGCAGTCATGGGATCACAGTATCATAGATTTAGAGCTAAAAGGGACCTTAGAGATAATCTAGTACAATCCCCTCATTTTTACAGAGGAGGAAACTGAGGTCAAAGAAATTAGATGAATTGTCCAAGATCACACAAGTAGAAAATAAGGGACCTAGCATCAAAACCCAGGTTCTCAGTCTCCAGATCAATACTTTCCCCCCTATTTCATAGTACTTTGTTAAGACATCCTTACGTCCTAGATGGAGAGATATGAGCTGGATCCTAGCACAATCAAGTGGATTTGTAACTGGCTGAACAACTATAGCCAAAGAGATCAGGTTAATGGATCAATAGAAACTCAAAGATGTCTAAGGATGTACCAGAGGGCTCTATATAGAGTCCTTTTCAAAAATTTTTATCAGTGAGTGACTTACCCTTATTAAATCTACAGATGACATGAAGAGGGTGGGATAACTAATAGGATGGATTCTGGAATCAAGAAATCAAAGTGATCGAGGCTAGTATGGATCTAAAGCAACAGGATGGAATTTAACCAGGATGAATGTGGTCTTAAATATAGGTTAAAAAATTAGTTGCATGAATACTGGTTAGGGGAGAAATGGCTTTTCAGTAGGTCATGTGGAAAAGATGTGTTTTAGTTGGCTTCAAGGTCAGTACGGGCCGATACTATGACGGGATGAATTAAAGCTAACAAAAGGATAGTGTGCAGTCAGGAAAAGAGAAGACGGGACAGGAGAGATGTTTTCGGTCATTTAAAGGGTCATGATATGGAAAAGGAAGTAAACTTGTTCCATGTGTTCAGGGGAGGACTTGTGGGTGTGAACTCCAGGGAGATTTCAATTTAATGTGAGATAGAACTTCCTAACATTTAGAGGTATAGGAAATTGTAATTGATTGCCTTGATTCAGAAGTGAGCTCTCCATCACAAAAGGTATTACAGCAGAAGCTAAATGGCTGGGGTGCTGTAGGAGAATTCTTGCATTGTGTAGGAGATTAGCCTAAATGTCCTCTTGGACCCTTCCAACTCCCCAAACCTCTAATACTAGTGTCTTCCTCTGAATGTAAGCTAGAAGGGACCAGGGAGCATCTCCAGTCATCCTGATCTATATCTGGCCACTGGACCCAGGAGGCTGGAGAGGAGAAAGTGAGGCTAATGACTTTGCACAGCTCTCTTTCACTTAAATCCATTTCACTTGCAAGTCACAGCATCAGCTTCCTGATATCACGGTCCTCTTCTAAAACAAAGCACGAACAACAATAACAGAAGGGACCAGAACTGCCTAGGGGATTTTTCAAGGGAGGCAAGAAGAGCTAAGGAAGGATAGGGAATGCTTCTGGATGCATCTTGTGAATCCTGAAGCACCAGCTGTGACTCTTCCTGCCCCCAACCCATTACTACCTAGCATCCAGGAAGTCAGATGGTGGCACAATAGTGGCACAGTGGTTGACCTGGAGTCAAGATGTCCCTTGTACAAATATGGCTTCAAACAGTTGTGTTACCTTGGACAAATCACTCAACCCCTGCCGCCTCATTTTCCTCATCTGTAAAATGGGGATGCTGGGCCATTGCCAGTCATCTTGACTTGTGTCTTGCCACTGGACTTTGATGACTGGAGGAGTGAGGCTGATGACTTTGCACAGCTCTGCCTCACTTAAATCCAAATCACTTGCAAGTGAAGACATCGCCCTCCTGGTGTCATTGGTCCTCTTTGAGAAGGAAGGATGAACAACAAAATGGGGATAACAGCACCTATCTCCCAGGGTTGTTGTGAGGATAAAAGGACATTTGTAAAGTGCTTTGCAAACCTTAAAACATCACCTAAGTGTTAGATATTATCATCACCTTTATCTTCATCATCAATAACTTTCCTGCATGAAGTAGCAGTTTCTGGGTGTAGACGGAGAATTTTTGCTCCTGGATCAGTATCCTTTGACTCATCTGTTGTAATAGAAAATAGTTCATTGGCAACATACCATTATATCTCTGACTCTTTGACCCCTTACTTTCCTCCCTGGAGAATGACCCCATATACATATCACCTATAGTTAAAATTCTTATAGGCATGAAGTCTCACTTCCCAAGATTCCTAGATCCATCTATTTATTTTGTATCTCTCCCCCCTCTCCCACACTCAATGTCCCTAATTCGGGGCCCTGCTCAGAGATGGCACTTGGTCAGTGCCTTGGTCAGATGTCAGAAACACCATCATTTTTTTTTTAGGCAATTGGAGTTAAGTGACTTGCCCAGGGTCACACAGCTAGTAAGTGTCAAGTGTTTGGTCTGAGGCTGGATTTGAACTTAGGTCCTCCTGACTTCAGGGCTCGGTTCTCTATGCACTGTGCCACCTAGCTGCCCCAACACCATCATTTTTTAATGGATAGAGTTGTTCAGTTGTGTCCAACTCTCCAAGACCTCATTTGGGGTTTTCTTGGCAAAGATCAGTGGTTTGCCATTTCCTTCTCCAGCTCTTCCAGATGAGGAAACTGAGGCAAACAGGGTAAAGTGACTTGCCCAGGGTCACCCATCTAGTAAGTGTCTGAAGCCAGATTTGAACTCAGGAAGAGGAATCTTCCTGACTCCAGGCTTAGCACTCTGTCCATGGAGCCACCTAACTACTCATCAAATCTAAAAAGGCCTGGATTCAAGTTGAGTCTCTGACACATACTGGCTGTGTGACTCTGGGCAAATGACTTAAACTTTCAGTGCTCTAGGCAGCTTTCTAAGTCTACAAGTTGCTGGCTTGCATCGGTAAAGGGAGTTTCTTTACCTGGGAGCTCTCTATACCCATGAAATCACAGGTCCAGTCCTTCCTTATCTCACTATCATTAAGGTGGGGGTGAAGGTAAAATGTCATTTTCCCTTAGTTGTATTCTGTAAATTTGGGATGGGAAAAGGGAATATGGGTTGAAACTCTTGGAATCCATACTTTAAAAGCATTTGTTAAAGACCTACTATGTGCAGGGTTCTGTAATAAATACTATGGAGACTACAAAGAAGTAAAAGACATAGTTCCTACACTCAAGACATTTCCACTCTAGTTGAGATCAGATATCCCCAAGAAATAAGATATGAATAGTGGATGCAATAATTATAATAGAGGTTCAGGGAAGGGAGTAATCATGGAGGACAGGGGAGGGGAGGGCAGGAATCTAGGAAGGCTTCATGGAGGGGATGGAATTTAAGCTGGGCTTCAAGGGATGGGTGAGATGTAGATATGCCAGGAGTCAGGAAGGCCATTACACTTTGGGGGAATGGAATGACCTCAGAGTCAGAGAAACAGTAGTAGGGTTAGCAAGTAGCAATGGCAATCAGAGTCCAAAGGGATAGCCTTTCATATGTGGCTGTTGTGGAGGAAAATGCTGGCCTAGAAATGAGCTTTTCATCTGCATCTGAAAAAAGAACAGAAATGACCATAAGTAATGAGGGGGGCAATAAATACAAACCTGGACCCTGCTCTGGCTCTGCAAGTTCTTTTATTTAGTCTGGTATTAGATGTCAAGTTGGCACCATATTCTGACTTCAAGTTTTAATTTTTCCTACCTTTTGATTAGTTGGTTAAGATATAGAAATCTAGGGGCAGAAATTAAAAGCAAATGAGAACAAGAAAAGTATGTGCCATCTCTGTCATCCTGCTGTTACTAGCTGTCCAGAGATTGGTGGGTGGTGCAATGGGAAAGACTCCACTGGACTTGGAGTCAGGAAGAGTTGAGTTCAAATTCAGCTTCACTTAGTAACTATGTAGCCCTGAATAAGTCACTTAACCTCTCAGCCTCAGTTTTCTCATCTGTAAGATGGAAAATGCCAAGGGCAAGTAGATAAGTTTGATTTTTCCTACCTTTTGATTAATTGGTTTTCAGATCTGGGTTTAAATCTTGTTTTGAGCTTGTTAGCTTTGTGACCATGGACAAGTCATAAACTTTCAGTTTTTCATTTATAAAATGGAGAAAATAGACTCTATCTCAAATTTTATCTGCAATATGGATAAAATAGCCTCTATTTCACAGGGTTATGGAGAGGATCAAATGAGATAATGTATGCAAATTAATTTAGGTACTTAAAACTGCTATAGAAATTTCTATCATCATCATCGCTATCCATACTATTGTTAGTATTATTGTCTCATTCTTGCCCTTTTTGAACATTCATATAGAAATGCTCCGAAGACAAATCACTATTCTAATATTAGTCTTTTATATTTGATGTTCTGCCAGACTATTATAAAAGATGAATAAAATGACTGCTTTTTGTAGGTGAATAATTCAGAATATTTGGCTGTAAGCTCATCTTCTATAGTTGCTGAAAGCACCTTTAGGACCACTCCAATAATAGCCAGCATCTATTTAGTACTTTAAGGTTTGCAAACTACTACACATATGTTATCACCCTTGATCCTTACAACAATCCTGTATGGTAGGTGCTATTGTTATTTCTATCTTACAGATGAGAAAACTGAGGCTGAGAGGTTAAGTGGCTTATTCAGGGCTACATAGTTACTAAGTGAAGCTGAATTTGAACTCAACTCTTCCTGACTCCAAGTTCAGTGGAGTCTTCCCCATTGCACCACCCACCAATCTCTGGACAACTAGTAACAGCAGGATGACAAAGATGGCACATACTTTTCTTGTTCTCATTTGGTTTTAATTTCTGCCACTAGATTTCTATATCTTAAAAGCTTTTTATTCCATGGAGTTTGGAGGAAGAGTATTTGGTATTGTGACATCTATTAAAAATATCATTCTTAAATGTTTATGAGCCAGTATTATGTCCTGGCCTTTGAGAGGGGTAACCATTTCTGTCTGTAACAGTGGGTTCTAGTTCCAATAGTTTATGTGTTGAACTCTCAAGAATATTTTTGGGTTTGGATTCATCATCTGTTAGTTTGTAAATCATGATGGTTTCAGGGTTGATTCTACCAGCTGATCAAATCTTTCTAATTTTCTGGTAGATGCTAAATTTTACAACCTATAAAAGTGACCAGAACTGCAAAGGGTGACATTCAACATTCTGCACCTTTGAAAGCCCCATTTCTGCTATGGAGTATGGGAAAGTATCTTCTCAAGTCTGTTCTTTGGGATCATTTTTATTTTTATTTTTTGTAATTTTACAATATTCATTTTCAATTGTTTTGTGATTAGTCCTTCCATTTACATTGTAGTAGTCATTTTGTATATCATTTTGTGTAAATTGTGTTCTTTTTGAACAGGACCAATGACATCACCAGATGATGTCTTTACCTTCAAGCGAATTTGATTTAAGTGAAGCAGAGTTGCACAAAGTTGTCAGCTTCCCTTTCTCTTCCAGAGTTATTAAAGTCCACTGACAGGACAAAAGTCAAGATGAATGGCGATGACCTGGGATGCAGTGGCATCTTCAATGTCTGACCAAGCTCTAAGGTTCACAATGCCTGCTTCAGCCACCTTCATGGTTGTTGGAACAAATTGTTCTCATCTACCCATTCTGCTGGGACGAAATCTTCACATATCCCCTAACTCATCAATAGGTTTTTTTTCTTTTTTTTTTTTTTAGGGCAGTTGGGGTTAAGTGACTTGCCCAGGGTCACACAGCTAGTAAGTATCATCAATAAGTTTGAGGCCTGTAGGTTACCATCAACCTGGTTTAATACATCTGCCTAGACAATGTTCCTGGGGTGTGGGAGCTGCATATTCTACAGCTTCTTGGAGTCACGGGTGAAAGTCTTGTGTAAATGGCATTTGGTATATATGGTATTGTATATGTGATCATCATGTATATAGTATATGGTTACATTGTCTATTTACATAGTTCTTTCTATTTACGTGGTAGCAGTTATTATGTGTATGGTTTTCCTGGCTCTGCTTTCTTGACTTTGAATCAATTCATGTTTTTCTATGCATTCATTTTGTTTTTCATTTCTTTTAGCACAGTAATGTTACATTACATTAAAGTACCACAATTTATCTAGCCATTCCACAATCAATGAACATTTACTTTGCTTACATTTCTTTGCTATGGTGAAAAGTGCTACTTTTAAAATGTTGGTGTATATGGAGTCTTTCTTTTTATCAATAATCTCCTTGGGGTATATGCCTAGTAATGGAATCTCTAAGTTAAAGGATATGAACATTTTCATCACTTTATTTTATTAATTCCAAATTCTTTTCCAAAATGGTTGTATTAATTCATAGCTCCACCAAAAAATTGTATGCATTCTTGATGATTATATCAGATACTATTTTTTTTAAAATGACTCAGTTTTTGTATGGTTGGTCTATTAGTTGGATTTGTGCCATAATGAATCATGAAACAGAAAGGCTCCCTGAGGGAGGGACAGGAGGCAGCATGTGCCAGGCAAGTCAAACCACCACCACCTCCTTAATCTCTACTTCCCAAAACCCTGATGGAGGTAACCCAGGACCCTGAATTCAAGAGCCTTAGGAATAGCAGAGATCCAAAGACTACTGACCCTATTTTCAGGCCAGAGTCCTCAGCCTTCATCCAGGGAAGCAACTTCTGGAGAGATGGAAAATGAGAATTGTTTCTCTGGGTGCTGCAGCACCTGCTTCTTCAGCAGCCGTAGATACTGAAGACCAGAAAAATAAAGATCTTGCTGCCAAAGTCTTTGGCCCTGTCAAATAGGTCAACATGAGAAACAGATATTATTTTATCGGAAATGACACTAAAGATTATTGTTCATTTTTCAATCATATCTAACTCTTTAGGACTCCATTTGGGGTTTTCTTGGCACTACAGTGATTTGATTTCCTTCTCCAACTCATTTGACAGATGAGGAAACTGAGGCGAGTAGAGTGACTTATCCAAGGTCACATGCACTTAAGTATCTGAGGTCAGATTTGAATTCAGGAAGATGAGTCTTCCTGACTCCAGACCTGTCACTCTCCACTGAGCCACCTAGATGTCCTAAAGAACATGCATTACTATTTATTTTTGTTGTTTCCCCT